GAAATGTATTGGTATAGTTGTAGCAACAATGAGCTCAAACATAAAAAATTATGAGGATGATGCAGGACCGTGTAGTATTTCATTCTGTTGTGTGTAGGGTCACTATGAGTCCAACTCAACTTGATGGTACCTAACAGCACCAACAAATAAAGTTTCTCCTTGTTCTTTTCGAAAGATTGCTTCTTGGACTATGAATACATTCCTCATGAACACAATTAAGTGTTCTGGAATACCCATTCTTTGTAGTGTTATCTGTTGTTTATTATGATCCACACATTGACTGCCTTTGAATAGTCAACAAAGTCCAATTAAACATCTTTCTGGTGTTCTCTACTTTTAGCCAATATCCATCTGATGTCAGCAATTTTATTATTGATTAACCACTTATTGATTGCATATACCTTTTTGCAACAACAAAAATGGTCAGTATACACAAAGACATCATCAGATGGAACATACAGTTGATGAACTGTCTACATATGGGAGAAGAGATGATAGAGAAGCTCAACATCATTCACAACAAAACCATGGGTCCACTGTAGAACTAGCCATTAGCTGCTCATATGCAAGTTTAAGCTGAAGCTGAAGAAAATTAGAATAAACCACAAGAGCCAAATTATTACCTCAAGTATATCCCACTGAATTTATATACCATCTCAAGAACAGATTTGATGCAGTAGACAATAATGACTGAAAATCAAAAGATTTGTCAGATGATATGAAGAACATTGTACGTTTAGAAAAAAAAGCTCATTATAAATACAAGAAATAAAGTAAAGACCAAAGTGTATCAGAAGAAATTCTGATAGAAATGCTATCAGAAAGGCTGATATAAAAAGACTAAAGCAACTGGAAGTAATGAGAAAGTAATAGAACTGGACATAAAATGTCAAATAATATCTTGAGAAGACACGTACACTATTAAAATGAAATGTGCAAAGACCTGGAGTTAGAATAACAAATGGGGGAAATATTTCCCAAGTTTAAAGAAATGAAGAAAAATTCATGCATCTGGTTTCAATATCAAATAATACTACAGAAAGGATCAAAAGAAGATAGAAGGAGCACAGAGAGTCACTGTAACAAAAAGAAGTTTTCGATGTTCAGTCATTTCAAGAAGTAGCCTATGATCAAGAATTAATGGTAATGAAGGGAGGAATCCAAGCTGCACAAAAGATATTGGTGGAAAACAAGGATCCAGGAATTGATAGAATAACAATTGAAAAGCTTCAAACAACAGCCTTATAAAGAAACCTTGCATTAATGGCCTATCAAAAAGGCCACTTGCTGAGTATTGAATATTCATCCTGTTTTTCATTGTTCTTAAATACAGAAATAAAATGTTACTTACACAATCGGGCTGGGTGTCTTAACAGGTTTAAACTTTACGCAATGATAAAATGACAATGACCTCCAAGCCCTTAATAATTTGCTTTGCCTGTTAAATTTGTTTTGTAGTCCCACAGGACATAGCACCTCTTTCCATTTTAGTATCAGTTTCATGTATCATAATTGTTGATTTGAATTTCTAACTTTCCCACTGGGCCATGAGCTCATTGAGGTCAGAGACCCTTGTAACTTCAGCACATAGGTAAGAATCTGAAATTACAAAGCTTGTTCAATTACTTATTTCTTAGTCAATAATGTTGCATGGATAAATGAAAACTATTATATTATCTCAGAAGAGCAAAAGCAATGCAGTTAATACTAGAATTCTACATTCTAAAATTTTTAATTCTTCACTGAGGAGATTTTAATGAATTTTGAAAATGTTTTTGTGGAACATGGTGAACTTTGAACCATAATTATTTACCTGCTACTATAAAACTAACTTTTGCTAATTTCCTTTTTATATTATGTTCTTTAGTATAAGAGATGATATCAAATTGCTAAGCAAATTGATAAGAAATTCCCACCTCCTCTGAAATGAATAGCTTGAGTTACAACTCTTCTGTATCCTAAAAGGTGCTGCTGGTAATATTGGCATGCTATCTATGTTCTGTGAGTGTGGTGGCTCCATAAGATAAACACTGGACTGCAATTCACACGATACATGGTTTGAGCCCACAAGCTGCTCCGAAAGGAGAAGAATGAAGGTTTCTCCTCCCTTAAAACTGTAAAGCCTCAGAAATCCTGTACAGGTTCACTGTGAGTGCAAACTGACTCGATGGCACTTAGCAAAAACAGCAATACATAAAAAATTAAACAAATGTTCTTATACAATATCTTTTTTACATTTGAAAATTGTACTAAATTATTACATTTTTCAATTTTAAAATTAAATGCATACAAATTTTGCACTTTTACCCTGCCTCCAGATGAAATTAAACCAAAAAACACCAAGACTGATCACTGAACTAATGATCAGAGGAGCATAATTTTATGTAAATTCTAAAAAAAAATTGTAATTAAGAATGAGCTTGATTTCAACTTCATTGTTCATTTCCTCCTGGTACAACAATTTAATTCCAAATATGATTAAATAGCACCTTTCTCTTGATACACCTGCAAGCTTTTTAAAGTTTTCTCAGAGCTTAGATGAATTAAGGAATAAAGGGAAAAAAAAAATAGAAGAAGAAAAAACTGTTATATGAGAAAATTATATTCATAACTCTGAAATACTGGTGGAAGTTATTTATTTATGAAAGAATTTGCATAAATGTCAATTTGATCTGTTAAAATGGCTAAACTTGCATTAAATGTGAACACAGTATAATGCAAACAAAGGATAGAATAATTTTGATTCAATTTATTAAATATCCCATTTGTCAATTAAAGAGAATTGGTATGATCACATAATAGTGGCACCTTCTACTAACGTTGAATATATTGTTTGAAGTGCTCCTGCAAGTATCTCTTTTGATTCTTAAAACATACATGACTCTAAGTAAGGTTGCTATTCCCATATTATAATGGAGACAAGTAGGCATCAAGAGTTGAAGAATAAAGGATGCATGACTTGTAGTGGTTACAAGTCACGCTGCTAACCTCGAGGTCAGCTGTTCGAATCTGCCAGTTGTTCCATGGGAGAAAGAAGAGGCTTTCTGCTCCTGTAAAGATTTACAGCCTAGGAAGTCCTCTGCAGGGTCGCTGTAAGTCAGGACTGACTCCAATACCATCACTGTCATCAGTAGTAAAATGAATTGGTATTACTGAAAACCACCTCTTCTATTGTCTTTCTTCTGTGTCCTTCTGTAATCTATATATTTGTAATGTTAACAAAACTTTTGTCTTCTCAATATCCCAATATAGATACAAATATGTCATGGTGAGTCAAAACGCTCTGCACTCTGCCTATAGAATTTAGTTTTAATCAACAATTGGAAATGACAAATAGTTCATTTTTCAACATAATCTCCTTTCTTCAAATATACTTCATCCATCTGTCAGCAAACTTTCTTATTCCCTTATTTAAAAAAAAAAAAAAAGGTTTAATCTGAGCTGCAAGCCTGAATGCACCACTGTCTTCATCAGAGGTGAATTTTCATTCTCAAAAGCCTGCTTTCAGGGGAACAAACAGGTGAGAGTATGATAGAGCAAGTGTAGGACTTTAAGGCTGATGCCTTAACACTTCAAAATGAAGTTTTTGCAGAATGTCAACAGTGTGGACAGAGGTGGGCTAACATGCATTGTCACATAAGATCGCAGTGACCCTGGATGGCAGTCCTCTGCATTTAATTTGAACTTTAAGCTTCATCTCTTAAGTGAGCTTCTCACTATAATGAGCACTGTTTATTGTTGAACTTTTACCTGATAGTGTTTCAATGATGGTCTATGAGAATCCCAGAAAGCTGTAAGCATCAATTTTCCAGTTGATGGTTGACTTTTGAACTTTTTCTTGGTCAGTGATTGAGGATGGTTCCATTCCATACTCTGCCATTTATTCTCAGACTCCTTGTGATGAAGCATTTCTCATCACCAGTCATGATTTTTTTCAGAAAAGTTTACCGTCCTTCAAGTTTGGTCCAATTATGTTTGTGATGTCCAAATGTTTCTGTTTATGCTCTTCCATGAATTGATCGGGTACCCATATTGCACAAACTTTTCAAAATCCTAGTTTTTCATGGTGTAGCTCACAGGCAGACCTATGGCTAATTTGCAAAATATTTGCAACATAATCCTCTGCTACTGATCTATTCAAAAGAATCATTTCACATGCACGTTCAATGTTGTCATCAGTCATGAAAATGGATGGGAATTTTAATATAACTAGAGTGAGGTTAATTTTTGACTCACCCTAATATTTCTTAGAGTTGTCATTGTTGTGGTTAAGTGCCATTGAGTTGGTTCTAACCCACAGTGACCCTGTATAGAATTTCTAAGGAGTGGCTGGTGACCTTAAACTGCCAACCCTGAGAATCAAGCCAACTTTGCAGTAAGTGCATTAACTCACAGTGCCGCACCAGCACTCCATAACTTATAGTATGCAGATGTAATATATAGAAAGCTAATTTAAGAAACAATAGATTCTGATAATAAATTCTTTAAAAATTCCCTAACACTAAGACTGAAACCTAGGAATTCATGGAATACTTTACAAACAATATGAAATAAGTATAAAACTACTAAATCTGCTAAGACGGTACATAAAAAACAATTGAAAAATATTACATAAAATTAACTTCTCACCTTTTCAAGTTGTTGGTGTAAGGTGTTGATGAGTTGATACTGACTCATAGTGACCTTATGCACAACACATACAAACCTTGCCCACCCTAGCTTCCAAGGAACATTCTGCCTGTATTTGTGACAACTCAGATTTGTTTTTTCTTCTGGCAGTCTTTGGTAATTTTAATATTCTTTTTTTTGTCTGTTTACTACGGATTTATTGAAGGCACTACAGATTGGTTACCAGGCACTGCGCTGGGTGCTGGAGCTGGGCAGTGCTTGAGAGGGCCTAGTAACTGAGGAATCCTGCCCACCGCCTGGGTGGGGCAGGCGAGGCTAACCAACAGTTTATCTCCCCTCCACCTGCCACTTTACCCCCCAGTCCTGCCCCTTCAGCCAGCGGGACCACTCAGACTGAGCCCTGGGGCCTCTGGTTTGCATTTCTGACTTTTTGCAGTACCCTCTCCAGGCTGCAGGGACGCTGCATGCAATTCATGGATCCTGCCTGTGTGATGGTCCAGATCAGGCCAGATAAGGGGGCTTAAAAGTAAAAGGGAAAACTCCATTATCTTTTCTTTCCATTTTCCAAAAAATTTTTAGTTGTCATAAGGGCTGGGTGGAGCCTGAGATAAGAGCAGGATGGGATCTGCTGAGAGTGTGTGCTGTGTCAACAGCACCAGAAAATTACAGAAGCCTTTTGCTCAGTTCTCTTACTGTGATCCTTGAGGTAGCTATTGAGGGATGAGGAAGCGGAGGCACAGAGTCGGGATGTGCTGGGTCTCTGCTCCTACCTGCATCTCACGGGCAGAGGGCTCCCTGGAGACAGCAGAGCTGTAGGGTGAGGTGGACCCACTCGGAGGGTAGATGGCTGCCCCTGGGTCTTGCTCACTGAGCTTGTGATGCAGAGTGCAATTCCTGCCACGGTGAGCACCATGCCTGTGACTGCTCCTTTTCCACTAATATCTTCTCCTAGTACCTTTCCAACTATCAGTGTGAAGACAATGGCCAGGGAGTTACAGATGGGCACAGCTAAGATTATATCTGTGGATGCCAAGGTGAGGTAATAGAGACGGGAGCCACACTGGTTGAGGAGAAAGGGTACCAGGTACTCAGTATTCAAGAAGAGGGTCTTCATTTCCTGCAGCAACTGCCGAGCCCAGGTACATTCATGAACTTGCTGCAGAACAGCAGAGGCCCGCTTCAGCAGTGGCTGTGTGCCACCCCACAGGGCGGCCACCAGCACCAGGGTCAGTACCTGTCCAAAAGATGCCGCCATGGCAACTCCGATCTCTTCTACTCTCGGGAACAGAGAGGAGGAGATCCGTAATCCGGAAGTGACGCTCGGCTTCATCTGGTCCTACTCAAGTCCCGGGTCTCCTCGTGTTACCGCAGGCATGGTGAGTTCCATCGAGTTCGGGGTATTGGATTGACGGTCCTGGGTTGGGGCAGGAATCCAATTCCCGCCGCTGACACTTCCGTCCTGCCTCCTTAGAAGCCAATTCTACTGCAAGGCCATGAGCGGTCCATTACGCAAATCAAGTACAACCGCGAGGGAGACCACCTGTTCACAGTAGCCAAGGACCCTGTTAGCGTCAGCCTAAGGGCCGGAGGGCGGGACCACGTGGAGCTAATATTCTCTTTCAACGTCATAACTCAAATGCATCAATTCTTCTATGGGCATACTTAATCGTTGTCCAACTTTCACATGCATATAAGGCTGTTGAAAATACCCTAACTTGGGTCAGGTGCACCTCAGTCTTCTCACTGACATCTTTGGTCTTAAACATATTAAAGAGGTCTTGCACAGCAGATTTGCCTATTGCAGTACGTCATTTGATTTGTTGAGTGCTGTTTCCATGAGTGCTGATAGTTGATCTGAGCTAAATATCAGTATGTTGTACGGTTGTGAATGGTGTGTTGTTGTGATTCTGGAAGCTATGACATCGGAATTTTAAATACCCACAAGGTCACTCTTGGTGGACAGGTTTCAGCTGAGTAGACAGCCTAAGACAGACTAAGAAGAAGGAGAGATGAACTACTTCTGAATACTTAAAAATCACTGAAAACCTTATGAATACCGTTGGAACATTGTCAGGTAGCTCCAGAATGTTGAATATTGAAACATGATGAAGAACACAAGGATGCTGACATATATATTGTCAGGAAATGAGCTTCTCAGGTTGGAAGGCACTCAAATGTGGCTGGAGAAGAGCTGCCTCCTCAAAATAGAGTTGATTATGATGACACAAATGGAGTAAAGCTTTCAATATCTTCATTTGCTGATAGGCACAGCTCTATTTGACTGTTTAATACAATGACAAAAATCCTTGAACTTGAAAATAGTTATTTACTTCTATACTTCTATACTAGAATTTAACCTAAAGGAGCAACAACAAAGGGAAACATTGAATGATTTATTATTTACTTTATTAATTTTATTCTAGAAAAATATGCACTCCTTAAACATTTTAAAACACCAAAAATAAAACAAAATTTCTCCAAAATCAAAGACGGGAAGAATCCTAAAAGCAGACAGGGAAAAGAGAAGTGTTATCTACAAAGGCAAGAAAATCAGATTAATTTCTGGCTTCTCAGCAGAAACCATGAAGGCAAGAAAGCAATGGTGAGACATATATAAAAACCTAAAAAAAAAAAAACATTGCCAACAAAGCATCATCTATCCAGCAAACCTGTAAATCAACTACAATGGTACAATCAAAAAATTCCAGGATAAACAGAAGCTAAGAGATTTTGTCAAAGTCAATCCAGCACTTCAAAACATACTAAAGGGAGTTCTTCGGAACGAAAATCATCAATAGGTCTCTCCATTGCCTTCTTGCTTGCATGGTTTCTGCTGAGAGATCCGAGCTTAATCTGACTTGCTTGCCTTTGTATGTAACACTTCTGTTTTCCTAGCTGCTTTCAGGAGTGTCTCCTTCTCTTTGATTTTTAAGAGCTTGGTTATGATATGTCTCAGTGATTTTCTTTAGTAGTCTATCCCTTCTGGGGTTCGGTGAGCTGCTTCAATGTTTATCTTATCACTTTTCAGGATGTTAGAGAAATTTTATTCCAGCAGTTCTTCAATTATTTCCTCTATGGACTTGTGTGATTCTTCTTGTTCTGGAATGCCGATAATTCTTAAGTTATTCGTCTTCCAACATGAATCTTAGACCGTCTTCAGATTTTTTATCCTTTTTTCTGTTTGCTCTTCTATCTTAGTCATATTGAGAGATTTGTCTTCCAGCTCACTGGTTCTGCATTCCATCTATTCTATTCTACTCCTTTGCCCTTTCAGAGCATTGTCTATTTCTGATATTCTATTATTGATTGTTTGGACCTCTTTCTGTAGGTTTTGAATGGTTTCCAATGCTGTATTTATCTTATTTGATTGTTCCTTTAGCACTTTCCTGACTTCTTCCTTATTTTTCTCAACTCCATTGTAAAGTGTTTTGAAACATTTTATGATCATTTTTCTGAATTCCTTCTCAGGCATTCCCAAGGCCTGCCCTCATTCCAGAATGGAATCCAGGTCTACCTCTAGGTCATTTGTCTCAGGCATTTTATCTTGTTTCTGGACATGTGCTGATATGGTCATCTGTTTTGCTTCTTGAACATGTTTAATGTTTATCTGTGGCCTTAATATTTAATTGAGTATGTGTTTTGGTATTTTTTATGTTTTCTGATTGTTTCCAAGTAGATGTGATCTGAATGTGGGCTTACCTTTTTACTGTTCTTATTGCTTAACTAGAGTAATTTTCACAGCTGTTGTCTGCCTCCCAGGAATATGGAAGTTGGTATTGGTTCTTGCTTGGACTTTGGTGTTTTATAGAGTGTGATTATAGCTTGACTATATGGCAGCAGTTACTGACTCTTCTTGGTTAACATAGGGAGATAAAGAGTCCCCCAAAAGTAGAAGGGGGAGCATAAAGCAGCAAAACAGCAGCAGCAGCACCCCCCAAAAAAATCCCCAAAATAACAACAAAACAAAGCTATACTGAATACTGCAGTCTATAGTCACAGAAAACGGGGAGGAGGGAGAGAAGAAGAAAAAAACAAAACAAAACAAAAAACAAAGTCTATAGCCTAATATGAGCATGACTTCATTGTCATCGCTTCAGCTTCTTGCTTTCAAAGCTGCCTGAGAGATTTGGGTTGTTATGCTGTACCTCAGGCTTTAATTTAATTTTCGGCCTCTTTTTTTTT